GGAAGGAGAGGAGAGAGGAGATGTGGTTTGGAGCCATCTGTGTGCCCGTCCTGCAGCGGCACAGGCGGCTCTGTGGCTGGCAGCGCTGTGTGTGTGCCATCAGTGGGTGCCCCAGCACCAGGCAGTGAGCACTGCAGCGCTGACTCTGCTCTGTGGACTTCAGTCTGTGTTAAAGTCCTGCTGGGAGCCCACGAAGGAGTGGTTTTCCCACCGCCGGCAATAGGAGCGGGAGCAGCCGGGATGTGGGGGAAGCGGAGCACTGCGGCCCTTGGCGGAGAGGCAGGGAGGGCTTTTCCAGCTGCTCCCACACTCTGCATCTTGCAGTCATCTCCCTGCAACCTGCTGCCCTCCCCAGCCCTTCTCTTCCCCAAGCTGAGTGCCCAGGGGTGAGCCCGGATCTCCTGCCCCTGTGACTCACACCCAGATGAAATCTGGCTCCGCAGCAGCTGACAGGCATTGCCCTGCAGGCACTGCATCAGCAGCAGACGTGTCCCGAAGGAGCACCCGGCTCTCGCTGCTCCTGCCCCAGGATTTAAAAGCCTCTGAGCCCTCCGAGGGGCCACCCCAGCATGTCCCGGCCACGGCAAAGCCAGGCTCTCATCATCGTCAACACTGATTTCCGCAGCAGTGATGGCGATGTGGGGCTCAGGCCCCGCAGAGGAGCCAGGAGGGAAGCTGAGAAGCTCTCTCATGTGCTGGCGCAGCTCAACTACAGGGTGAAGCTGCTGCACAACAGGACGGCCAAGGAGATGGAGGACCTCTACCAGCAAGGTGAGCCCCCAAACCGCCTTCCTGCTCCCGGCTCCCACCTCCACAGTGCCCCACATCACCGCCCAAAGGCAGTTTGGGATGGATAGGGACCAACCCTCACCCACACCCAGGCCCTTGTGGTCCCTTCATCACACAGCGGGGGCTCAGAGCCGGAGATGGGCCTCCCAGCACCCTCACACAGCACTCAGCTGGAGGCTGATAGCTGAGGGTGGCTGTGCCCCACAGAGTGTGGCCGTGAGCACGGGGATTACTTCGTGAGCATCATCTCCAGCCACGGGGAGGAGGGGGCCGTGTTGGGCTGTGACTGCAGGCCGCTGCGCCTCACCCGCATCTTCCGCACCTTGTCGGCACAGAACTGCCCAGTGCTCGCACAGACACCCAAGGTCTTCTTCATCCAGGTAACACCACTGCTGGGCAAAACTGCACCCCATCTTGTTGGCTCCGCACGCAGAGACAGGCACAAGCGCTGTTCTAATTTCAGACTTTGCTGCCCAGCTGCCATTCGCCACTCTGCTCTATCTTTGATGCTTTTGCTGATTCTCAGGTCACCTCTCCCCAGCTGGCAGCAGCCCCGTGCCCAGGACAGCAGCGCTTCCCCTGCCCCTGAGCGCCCTGCGTCCGCCTCAACTTTCACCAGGTTTCTCCCTTCCAGGAAAGGTGACCTTGCTGGGCTCAGCCTCCCTCCCAGATGCCAGCGGGGTGTTGATGAGTTGCTAAAAGTTGCCCTCAGATTCCATGACGTCGATATTTGGGCAAAGAGCAGCGTGGGGGGGGCTGGTTAGAAACACCCCACAGGAAGCGAGCCCCGGAGTGCTCCGTGGATTAGGGAGGATTAGATGAGAGCAAACAGTGCAGCAACCTGCAGCCTGGGCAGATCTCAGCAGGTCGGCTCTGCAGACGTGCAAATACACGGAAATCCTTGCGTGAGAGCAAGCACAGATCGCTGGTGGCACTCATTTCCTGCTGGAAAGAGGGCTTAGCCTGCATGCCTGGCTACAATAGGGGCCACCTCCAGCAGCCAGAACTGCAGACCAGGATGGGTGGCTGGTGCCTTTAGGGCTGTCCCCTTAGGGCATGCTGAGTGCCAGCGTGCTGCCGCTCCTTCCAGGCAGCCCATGAGGGTCCTGCAGGCAGTGATGCAGAGCAGAAGAGGCTCTCGGAGGGGGCTGTGTGTGTCCTCGGGGTGGTGCTCCTCATCATTGCCTGAAATCCCATCCTTGGAAGAAAGCTCCAACCATTGCATAGGATCAGTGACTGCTGTGCTCCAAGGGGAATCTCCCCAAGAGGGTTCTGGTGTCTGCTGGTGTAATCCTGGAGCCTGCAGGAACATGAGGGGAAGAGAGGCTGCCCCTCTCCTGGGGGGAGAGAGAATCACAGAACCATTAAGGTTGGAAAAGACCTGACACACCCAAGTTCAAACCCCAGCACAGCCCACCATGCCCGCTGTCCCTCAGTGCCACATCCCCACGGTTCTTCACAGGATGGGGGGGGGCACAGCAGCCCCAAAGCCCCCCTGGATCTCCCTTGTTCAGGAGCGGAGCACAGAGAAGCCAACGGCCATGTTCTGCCTGCAGGCATGTCGGGGGGCTGCGCTGGACCAAGGGGTGTTTGTGGAGACTGACGGCGGGCAGCCGGAGCCAGACAGCTTCTCAGAGTACCTGTGCATCCCCCCCAACACCGCTGTGATGTTCGCCTGCAGCCCCGGTGAGGAAACCCCCAGGGAGGGTCAGCAGGAGCAGGGTCAGCACCTGCGCTTCCGTGTTCCTGGGGGGGCCATGCGTGGCTGTAGGGTCATGGCAGAGCTGTCAGGCCGTGTGATCCTGCAGGGCTATGAGGGGCTGTAGGGCTGTGTAGAGCTGTAGGGCCATGTGGGGTGGATCACAATGAGCTGTAGAACCATGTGGGGCTGCAGGGCCATTTTGGGCTGTAGGGCCATGTGAGGCTGTAGGATCACAATGAGCTGTGGGATCATGGGGCTGTAGAGCTGTAGGGCCATGTGGGGTGGATCACAATGAGCTGTAGGGCCATGTGGGCTGCAGGGCCACAAGTCCTCCCCTCAGCCCCCCCTCTGTGCCGAGCAGACCTCCCGCTTTGCCCCCCCCCCCCATCCCACCCCCACTGCTCTCCTCTGGATGGTCGCAGTTTTTGTCCCTCTGACTCCGAGGCACCCAAACGTTCCATTTCCAGCACTTCTTTTTCCCATAAGGGGCAGCGTGAGGCCCTCCCTCCTCCCTCCATCACACCATTCCTCCCTCTGCATCCCCCAGGCTACGGCGCCTTCCTGAACCCCGCGGGATCCATGTTCCTGCAGGCCCTGCTGGCGGCGTTGGCTGGGGAGGAGCGCAGCCTGGCGCTGAGCCGCATGGCCACCCGCCTCAACGCGGCCGTAGCCCTGGGCTGCCAGGCCCGCGGCGCCTACGAGGGCTGCAAGCAGATGCCCTGCTTCGTCACCAACCTGCTGCAGGACATCTTCCCCTTCTCGGCTGCGGGTGAAGCCCTGCCCAGCACAGACACACAGGGAGGGACGGAGGAAGAGAGGCAGAAGCCTGCAGCCTCTTAAGGGGAAATGAAGAAACACGACAGAAACCCCAGCAGAAAGGTGCCCTGGGCTGTGCTGGAGCTGCCCAGGGTGTGAGGAAATTCTGGGGTGCGTCGTTCCCCCATCACGATGTACTGGGCTGGACGTCACCTGCTGCCCCATGGCAGCCTAGGCTGTGGCTGCGCATCCTCCAGCGGCGCTCACTTCTCCCCTCCGCCTCCTTCATGAAAGAGCCTCAGTGCTGTGAGCTCTGCTTTATCGATCCTGTTATCCGGGTGACCCTGCACAAAACACAGGCTTTTCTTCTGAGGGAGGAAAGGCCGATGTTTGCCTGCCTGCTGCTCTGCCCGCAAGGAAAACACGGCAGTGGTGTAAAGATGGCAGCAGGCCCAAGCTGTTGGTCCTTACGATTGATTCTTTGTTCCAAACCTAAAAAATAAACAGAGACCGATGGTCAGACCCAGCAGGTTGACTCAGACCGGGAGTCAGGGCACGGCTTTGGGAACGTTCACCAAGGCAGATCTCAGCTCACGACCAAAAGCTGCATCTTTGTGAACCTCCTCCTGCTGCGGGGAAGGGGAGGGTGATGCTCCATTGGGACGGAGGGGCTGGGACACCCCGTGGCCCCACGCTTTTGCTCAAGGCTTCCCCTTGTCTCTGGCACACAACCGAGCACAACGGAGCCTCCCCGCAGCGCCTGCACGGCTCACCCTGTGTGCTCAGCCATTAAATCTGCTTCGTCTCCACCCCGAGAGCCTCTCAGACAATCTGGGCTGGTGTTGGTATTTCTCAACCCTGAGCAGCACAGCTCTGATAGCAGAGCCCTGCCCTCAGAGAACTTCGGGCTCCATCAGCAGGACTTCGACCCTCGGCACACCGCTGGTGCCACGGCCCCGACAGCCCCGCGCTGCAGCGTCTCACGGCACTGCCTCTTGTTGGGGGACCTCCTGAGCTGCTCCCTCCCCGTGCACTGGCTCTGCCCGTAGCAAGAGAACAGTTTGGAGACCCCTGCAGCAGGTCAGGGTGAAGCTGGGCATGGGGCTTGGAGCTGTTGAAGGAGCCCGATTCTTGCTTCTCTGGGAAATGACACTGAAGGTGCACACAGCAGTGCTTCCACCCCTTAGGAAGGCTCCAAAGAGCCCAACACACCATCAAAGTTTTCATTTTTAATCTCCCATTTTCTCTGTTCTGCCTCCCCCAGGCTCTCAGCGACCCAGTCAAGGTGAGAAGTAAAAAACCACACACAGCCCCCTCCTCCTCCCAGCTCATCCTCTGCCACACTGGAGGCACAAGGGCAGAAAGTGGGGGAAAGTTCCACTGCAGGAGGCACCGCGCTGCACCTCGCCTGCCCGCAGCACCCTGCCCTGCGCTCCTCAGCCACCCGGCGCTGGATGCTGCTCCAAAAGCCTCCCTGTGGGCGAAGCAGGGAATGCAGACCCTCGCCTGCTGCTGACCAAGGGCCAGCTGGGTGAGAGGCAAAGCAGGCAGGAATTTTTCAAACAGCCTCCAAGCAAAAGGAATTCTCCTTCTGTTCCGGCTGCAGGGTGCTTGGTCGTGTGAGGGCTGAGCCTGCATCCACAAACAGAGGCTCTGCACAGAGCCCAGAGCATAAGCGATGATCAAAGAGAGTGGAGACGGGGCTTCAAAGCTTTTACAGACACGCACACACAGAACAGGGCTCACAACTCCGTATTTTTTTAAACCATTTATTGACTTTACCACACAGGGGAAAAAAAAAAAAAGTACAAAGCAATATAAAAATTCTGGTCCTTCAAAGCAAGTCGCGTTGCACTGCAGCAGGAAACAAACTGCACTGCTTTGCACCAGCAAGGCAGTGGGCCCAGGAGCAGCCCCACCTGGAGGAAACACGTACCCACAGACACCATCCCCACAGACACCACCATTCAGGGACGTGCCACGGCCAAAGGGAAAAGGCTTCGCGCTCCTTGAGCGGTTTGAAACACGTGGCACAAATCCTAACAGCATTAAGAAGGGAAAAGAAGCCCTAGGAGTCGTTCCCAGAGGTCCGAGGCAAGAGGGGCTTTCTCCCTCTCTCCCTCTGTGCTGGGAAATCAGAACACAGCTGTAGCCTTCATGGCCAGACAAGGGAACTTCCTGCCCTCGTCACCCCGCAGCTGTGGGCGGCTCACCCTTGGTGCAGGGCTGGGGACAGGCAGCCCCCCCCCGGCCTCACAGTGGGGACAGGACTCCTCTGTGCAGCTCTGGGGGGGATGAGCACCCATGTGAAGAGCCCTCCATGAGCCACAGCTGTCACTTTCTGCCCATTAGGAAAAACAAAGAAAGAAAGAAGCCAGGCAGGCACTTTACACACATCCTTCAGAAGCGCCCTGTCTCAAGTAAAACATCTTTGGAGCAGAACTACAAAAATAAGACCAGCAAAACAGCTCAGGAATCAACATGTTTTGCAGCCTTCAATACAACCAGTGCTAGTCCATCCCCGGCCCTCATTTCAGTGTCCCACAGCAAAGCTGAGAAAACAGCAATAAGCTGCTGGTGAGGTGAACATCAACCACATGAAACCTCCCAAAGCAGGGGAGCACAGAGCAGCAGGAGAGGAGAGAGGGGTTTGGGAGCTGCAGGACAAACCTTCTGCTCACAGCAGGAGCTGCGCCTCTCCTGCTGCAGAGCTCAGCACTGAAGGAGAGGAAGAGGTTTGAATGACTGTGAGTTTCATTCATCCCAAATGCTTCAGGACTGTCAACCACTCTGCATCATCACGATGACATTTTAACAACAGGGAACGCAGTCATCCTTGGAGGTGAAATTCGCTCCATCGCTGCAGCTGTTTGGCACAGAACCTCATAAGCCTGAGCGGCTCGCTTTCACAGCATCAAACTAATTGTCCTCATTAGTGCAAGCATCTCAGCTGCGAGGACCACGAGGGAACAGAGCCACACGGAGCACAACTGCCACAGGGCAAGTGAGGGAGTCTAAGACAGAACCGAGGGTCGAAGGCAGCTCCGTTAAATGCATTGAGCGAGGAGTGAGACGTGAAGCGAACATTGCCTTCATCACGGAGAGGAAGAAAAGAAACAAAGCCAGAGTCCTTGGCAGATCATTTCCAAGCTAGTGCAATCACGCTCCAACTTTAGCATCCAAATACAATGGACAGAGAAAGAGAACGTCCGTGCCTCCAGCAGGACAGCGCTGCTCACAGCAGCTCCGTGACTGAAAGGAATCACGTGGCTCATTTTGCAGGCGGATTTGTTTTCAAGAGGAGACGTCGGTACAGCAGATGGAAAGGCCCATTTCATTTGGACACAAAAGTTCTGTCAAGTGCCAGAGCTGGCTTCTCTTGGGCCACGTCTAGAAGCCAGGCACCCAAGCGGAAACCGGTTCAGGTAGTTGAGAAAGGAGAAACACATTTTTATGAAGTGAGAATCAAACATTACCAAGGTGCAGGTGCAAAAGTAAAAGCATTTCCCCTTCCTCCTGCTCTCCGAGGTCTGAAGACGACAGCAAAGCTACAATTCAGTGCTACAGCAGGCAGCCAGCTGGCGCGGCCCCGCCATTCCGGTCTCATCGCCACCAAGCACCTTTCTTCCACTGAATACCTGAGGAGGAATCTAGATCTGGAAAGGGAAAAAAGGAAAGCTAAAACGATGTGAAAGATGCACAAAAGACAAGAGAAGAAAAACAGTTTCAAGGGGAAAACAAGACGGACTTCTCCAAGCCCCCCTACCTTCTGATCCAGCCGCTGATAATCGCCGGATTTGGGCCGCCGGCCGCCCTTGGATCGCTTCCCTTCCAGTGCAAAAGCGATGATCTTTGGAGAGAGAGGCAGGGACAAGGTGAGCAGGACACCAACGACCTCCTGCAGTCTTTCTGACCTCTAACAGCTTTCTAGTGGGCCAATGAGAAGCCTCGCTTGCCTCCTTCTAAAAGCACTTGAAACAAACGTCATCGTTCAAAAGCAATAAGACTGAAAACAAGAAATCATGAGGCTTTCCCAACATGCAGAAAACAGTAAAAAAGCTGCTCCCTCTCCTACTTCAAAAACAGCTTTGCAGGAGGGAGAAAAACAGCAGAAAAGATGAGCATTGTCACTTGGGCTGCGTTCCCCCTGCAGTGCGAGTTAAAGACAAGCCTTTGGCAACCTGCTGCAGAAAACTCAGCATCTGTGAGAAACACGGAGCAGCTGCACGTCTTTTCCTTTTCTCCTCCCTCAGCTCCATTTCTCACTGCTGAAAATGCCCACTGGAGCCAAGGCCCCTCCATCTCCACCGAGATCCAAACGCTTTCCTGTTACAACACTCCTCCCTGCTCATCTCAAAGCTGTTGAGATCAAGGCTTCCAATTAAACATTAACCAAGCCCAGGCAGCAGGCAGGAGGCCTAAGCAGGAAGCAAAAGGCAAGAATGAGAGCAGCAAAGGGGAAAGATCTTCAGTGGAGCGTGCCCCACCTGCAGCACTGCCCAACGACTGGGAAGGAAGCTCTTAAACCACAGGGGGGAACCTGGGCAAGGAGCAGAGCCACTCACCTTCCGTTTGTTGTGATAGGCAACGTAGAGAGCAGCGACGATAATCGCCGTGGTCACCAGATAGGCGAAGAAGTGGCTGTTCTCTGACTTCTGCCCCGGAGAAATGGGAACACTCTTCTCTCTCTCCTTATTAAATAAGGCAGCACCGTTCCCATTTCCAACCCCATCCTCTTCCTCAGGGAGTTCGTCACCATCTGGAGAGCCTTCAGTGTCATGAACAGATGAAACTGATGGCGAGGATGGGCCGTTATTTCCCAGTGAGCCTGCCTGGGCGCCCTGGCTGCTGTCCTGTGTATTGGCATTGTCATGTTGCTGGTTGCTGCTGCTGCCTTGCTGGTCATCCTGGCTGTTGGTGCTGTCCTGGTGTTCATTATTCTGGCTGTTGGTG